AAAATGGTCAAAACACTTGAGCAGACACTTCACCAAAGAAAACACGCAATAGCAAATGAGCACATGAAAAGACATTCAACATTATTAGCCATTAGGGAAATGCAAATTAAAACCATAAGATTCCACTACACATCCATTAGCTTGTGATAAGTTAGATTCACATTGTACTCCCCAGAACCACTAAAAAACAAAGAGTTATAGATAAAAAGCTAATAGAAGAAATAAAATGGAATATAAAAATAGTTCTTTAATCAAAAGAAGGCACGAAAGGACCATGAGGAGAACTGAAACCAGACGACACAATTAGAAAAAAGAAAGAAGGTATAATTAAATGAAATAATAATAATTACATCATATCTAAATGAAGCGAACACCCCAATTAAAAGCCAGAGATTGTCAGATTGGGTAAAAAAGTAAGACCCAACTATTTGTTATCTACAAAAGATGTACTTTATTTATTTAAAAGACAAGGTCTCACTCTGTTGCCCAGGCTGGGGTGCAATCACACAATCATAGCCCCCTACAGCCTCTAACTCCTGGGCTCAAGTGATTCTCCCTCCTCAGTCTCCTGAGTAGCTGGGACTACAGGTGTGTGCCACCACACCCTGTGAATTTTTAAATTTTTTGTAGAGACAGGGTCTTGCTATGTTGCCCAACCTGGCCTTGAACTCCCAGCCTCAAGCAAACCTCCCACCTTGTTCTCCCAAAGTGCTGGGACTAAAGGTATGAGCCACTGTGCCTAGCCAGGATATGCTCAAATGCAAAGATATAAATAGTTTCAAAGTAAACTAGTGGGAAAAAATAAACCTTGCAAACAGTAAGCCTAGAAATGCCAGAGTGACAATATTACCAGACAAAATAGACTATAAGACAATGAGTATTAGAGAGAAAGAAGAATATTTCACTATAAAAAAGAGGTCAATATATCAGAAAGAAATGTAGTTGTGAACAGATATAACCACATAGCTTCAAAATACATGAAGCAAAAACTGTCAGGCCAAAAGAAATGGGCAAGACCATAGTTAGAGATTTTAACATACACCATTCAGTAAATAATAGAGGAGATAGAAAAAGATCAGAAAAGATATAGGAAATATGAATGACATTATCAACCACATTGACATAACTACTACTTATGAAATAGTACACCCAACAAATGAGATTATACATTTTTTCAAATGCATACAGAATATTCATCAAGATAAACCAAACACTAGGCCATAAAACAACAATCGATTCCAAAAGTAACATCTCAGAATATGTTCTATGGCAACAATGGCAGTAAATTCAGAATTAAAAACAACAAGATATCTAGAAAGGCCTTAAGATTAAACAATATCCTCTGAGTAACCCATGGATCAAAGAAGAAATCACAATGAAAATTAGAATATATTCCAAACTGATAACATATTAAAATTGGTGGGGTGTACTTAAAGCAAAGCTTAGAGGAAAATTTATAGCTTGAAATGTTTATGTTAGAAAGGAAGTAATAAAACCATGATCTCAGTTCATCTTAAGAAACTAGAAAAAAAAGAGCACATTAACCCTAATGAAAGGAGAAGTAGGGAAATAATACAGAGCAATAGTCAATGTAGTGGGAAACAGACAAGCAATAGAGAGAATTAGCAAAGCCAAGAGATGAGTCTTCAACTTGATTAATACAATCCATAAACACCTAACAAAACTGATCAGGAAAAGAGGAGTTAAAACACAAATAGCCAGTACCAAAAATGATAGAAGGATTATCACTACAGATCCTATGGATATCTCACAGGAAATAGGAGAATGTTATGATAAACTTTATGTCAATAAATTCAACAGTTTAGATGAAAGAGCCAAATAATTTGAAAAAATAGTATTAAAATTGACACAAGATAACATAGTAAGTCTAAATATCCCTATGTCTATTTTAAAATTGAATTTGTTATAGAAAATTTTCCCACAAAGATAGTTCCAAGTCCAGATATCTTCACTGGTTAATTCTATCAAACTTGTAGAGAAGATATATTATCACTCATACACAACTTCTTTCAGAAAATAGAGGAGAAGGAGACACTTCTCAACTCATTTTATATGGCCACCATAATCATGATACCAAGACCAAGAAAAGAAAATTATAGGCCAATATCACTCACAAACGCAGACATATAACTCCTTTAAGAATTAGTTGGAAACAAAAACTAACAATACATTAAAAAAATGCACCCTGACCAAATGAGATTATCTAAGGAATTCAGGTACAAAGTTAATTTAACATTCAAAAATAGGTCAATACACTGTAGTCAATTCATACCAAAGTATTTACTTTGAAATAAATTAAAAATGTAAGATGGATGAGTAAAGGAATGGATAGAGAAATAGATATATGATAAAGCAAGTACAGTAAAAGATTAATGGTATAATGTAGTTGGTGTGTATATGGTTCACCAAAAAATCCTTTCACTTTGGCCATACATTTGAAAATAATTTTTCTTTTCTTTCTTTTTTTTTTTGAAACAAAGTTTCACTTTTTTAGCCCAGGCTGGAGTGCAGCGGCCGGATCTCAGCTCACTGCAAGCTCCGCCTCCCAGGTTTACGCCATTCTCCTGCCTCAGCCTCCCGAGTAGCTGGGACTACAGGCGTCCACCACCTCGCCCGGCTAGTTTTTTGTATTTTTTAGTAGAGACGGGGTTTCACCGGGTTAGCCAGGATGGTCTCGATCTCCCAACCTCGTGATCCGCCCGTCTCGGCCTCCCAAAGTGCTGGGATTACAGGTTTGAGCCACCGCGCCCGGCCGAAAATAATTTTTCGTAACAGAATTATGGAAAAAACAAATCAATTTAACCAACCATATTAATAGCATAAAGAAGAAAAAACATGACCACTTCAATAGATACAGAAAAAGCATTTGAAAAATCCAATACTCATTTATGATTTTTTAAAACTCTCAAGTAGGTATAGAAGGGAACTTCCTTAATCTGAGGAAAGACATCTCCCAAAATTTATATCTAGCATCATACTTAGTAATGAAATCGTGAATTTCATCATTAAATTTTTCTTCACCTTAAGATAGGAAAAAAGCAAGGATATCTACTCTCATCATTTCTATTCAACATTGTACTGGTGATTCTAGTCATTGCAATAAATCAAGAAAAGGAAATAAAAGGCATGCCAGTTTGATAAGAAGAAATACAGCTGTCATTTACATGTGACATTATTTTTACAGAGAATTTACAAAACAACTATTAGAACTAATAAATGAGTTTATCAACATCTCAAGATGCAAGATCAATACAGAAATCAATTTATTTTTAGATGCTACTAGCAAAATAGAAAAATAAAAATTTCAAAAATCAGTTTATAATAGTGTTTTAAGACATAAAATGCTTAAGAATAAATCTACCAAAAGACATCTAATACCTGTACATTGAAAATTATGGAAAAAATGATAAGAGTATTTAAAGAAAACTTAAAAATTGGAGAGCCAGGTGCAGTGCTGTAATCCTAGCACTTTGGGATGCTGAGGTGGAGAGGATCACTTGAGGCCAGGAGTTCAAGACCAGCCTAGGTAACACAGTGAGACCCTGTTTCTATAAAACATTTTTAAAAATTAGCCAGGCGTGGTGGTGCACGCCTGTAGTCCAACCAACTTGGGAGGCTGAGGCAGGAGGATCTCTTGAACTCAGGAATTCAAGGCTGCAGTGAGTTATGATTGTGCAATTGCACTTCAGCCTAGGTGGCAGAGTGACCCTGTCTCAAAAAAAAAAAAAAAAAAAAAAAAAAAAGAGATACGCCATGTTCTTGGATTGGAAGACTCAATATTGTAAAAAAGTAAATTCTTCCCCAAATTGATCTTTAGACTTTATGCAATCCCAAGCTCCTAGCAGGCTTTTCTGTAGAAATTCACAAGCTAGCTATAAAATGTGTGTGAAAATGTAAGTGACATACGTTAGTCCAGTCTTGAACAAGAAGAACGATCTTGCAGAACTTACACTCCTCACTTTCAAGTTTGCAAATCTTAAAGTAATCAAAATGGTGTGGTATTGGTCTAAGGATAATCAACTAAATAGATGAACTAGAATAAGAGTCTGTAAATTGACCCATACTTGTACAGTCAGCTGATTTTCAATAAAAGCAGCAAAGCAAAACAATAGGGAAAAAAAGGTCTTTTCAATAAATGTAGTGAAATAACTGGAAAAATAACCTGTGAAGAAAAATTTAACTTCAACTCTCACTCTTCACCATATACAAAATTTAATTTGAGATGGATCAGAGTCCTAAACATAGGCACTAAACTGTAAAGCTTTCAGAAGAAAGCACAGGACAATACCTTCAGGATGTGAGGGTAGACAAAGATTCCTCAGATAGGATACAGAAAGCAATAACCATTAAAAAATTTAACTTTTAAAATTAATTTAGTCGTTAAGTTTTTGAACTTTCATAATGAAATAATAGCTGACTTAGACAGAAATTGCAATATAGTAGTACAATGAGTTCCTGTATACCCTTCATTCAGATTATCCAAATGTTAACATTTTTACTGCATTTGCTTTTTCATTCTCTTAATTGATAGAAATTATTATATTATTTTTAATATTTTGAATGTAAGTGGCATCCGTGATGTCTCTTTACTTCTAAGCAACATTCTCTTATATAACTGTAGTTGAATTGTCAAAGTCTTATTATTAACATTAATATAATACTATTATTTAATCTATAGGCTTTGTTAAAATTTCACCAATTTTTCAACTAATATTCTTTATAGCAAAGAAAAATGTATGAATATATACATCAAAGTATCTGAAAGGTATTAATATCCTGGTTATAATATTTCTGGGTTCTATCATGCCTGTTTTTTAGTTTAGTCTTTTCGTTTATGTGTATTTTCTCACTTTTTTTTTCAACTTGTTGGTCAATTTTCATTAAAAACTTATTCCTTAAAGCTTTTTACAGTATTTTTTGAAAATTAATTTTTTTTACTGCATATATGGGTCTTCATTTAGTTTTTCAGTAAAGACAACTTATTTAGTTATCAGTGTCCCATCATTTGATAAGACCAACGGAGGGTTTGGATAGCAGCCAGCTGTTTTTGAATTGCTTGAAGAGAATCTTGTAAATTTGTAGTCCAGAGGTAATTCTGCGATTACTTCAATACTTAGAATTGCAATAGTGCTGTAAGTACTGATTCTCTTACAAGACCATGTATAAACCAAGGAGTCTTCTGTATTTTCCAGTCCCAAAACTGAACTAATAAAATAAAAAGATTCCCATTTTTTAGATGAAGTATTTAAAGGCTTTGGCTTTGGTCCCTCATATTTTCCTTTTTCTTTAGAGGCTCTGACTTCTCAGGCCTCTGACTCCTTGCGCCTTCATCCCTCTGAGTTCTTCCAGGATAAGGACTGTCTCCCAATTACTATAGTGATGAGCCAGAAAAATATCTGAATGCATGCTGTCACCGAAACAAACAACCTTGGGTTCAAGTTTGCCAGTGATTTTCTTCAGAAGCTTATAGAGGTGGACAGCGTTCCCTTGGGAGCACCAGCCAGGTTTATCCAGAGATGGCAGCGCCTCCTGCTCCTCATCATTCTCAAGCATCCGGAAAGGTCTCTGACTTGGTAAGTGGGAGAAGAAACCAGGCTTCAATGCATTTGTAATCACAATGTCAAAAAAGTCTGCAAAATCATTCCCAAGGATATATTCTCAGAGAAGTCTACAGTAATCACTGTGATAACTGGTAATTAACAGAGGATTTTTCCCAGCATTCTTTAGCTGTCGAAGCCATTTTTTCACAGATTCAGGACAACTGTGTAAATATCTGCCTGGATCTATTTTTACTTTTGGAAAATATATTCCACAGATTTCCTTAAAAGCTGACATTTTATAATTGTGTTGTATAGCAGCAACTATATCCTTCCAAAAATCAAATGTTTTTTGACCATTGTTTGTTGTTAAATAGTCCACCACCCTGGCACATAGAAGAGCTCCTGGCAGGTCAAAGTAGTTGTAAAAATAATACTTTCGTGGGCGGCAAGCCATTCCAGTGTCCGACAAGAAGTGCTTCCACTCTTTCTTGCCATATGTCTCTGCCAGCACCTCTGGAATCATCATCTTGGTGCCATGGCTTGCCCTGAGAACAGTGCCATTATCAGCAAGTTTAAGGAAGTTCCCATCTTCTAGATCCAATGCCAAACCCTTGCAACAGAAATTCCAATCCTCTGGGGTCACATTGAGCAATTCCTTATCATACCCCTTCTCCTTAACTAAGAACTGGGGAAAGCTATTATAAATGAGTGGGGCGCTCTCGGGCAGGTTGTAGCGACACAGGGTGTGGTCCAGGTAGAATCCGACCAAGTCGCAGGTGACCAGGGAGAAGAGCCGAGCCATGGCTGCACTAGGAGCACCTCGGCCTGGGAGGGTGCAAGCTTTTCTCACTTTTTAAAATGAATATGTTTTAATTTTGTAATAAGAAGCTACTATTAATAAATAAAAAATAAAGTGAAATGTGTGTATGTGAGAAGACACTATTAGGAAATCCACGGAATAGGCAAGCCACAGACAGAGAGAAAACATATGCAAACTATATATCTAACAAAGTACTTATGTCCAGGGTGCATAACAAATTCCTACAACTCAACAACAGAAAAACAAATGACCCAATTAGAAAATGGGCAAAAGACTTTGACAGATATTTCACAGAGAAAAGGAATATTAATGGCCAATAAGCAAGGGAAAAAGTGTTCAATATCACTAATTATCAGGAAAATGCAAATTACAGCCACTGCATGCATTAAAAGAGTTAAAATTTTAGTTAAATCAATTAAGGCTGGGCACAGCGGCTCATGCCTGTAATTCCAACACTTTGAGAGGCCAAGGCAGGAGGATCATGTGAGGCCAGGAGTTTGAGACCAGCCTGGGCAACACGGCAAGATCCTATCTCTACAAAAAATTAAAATTTAAAAATCAGATAGGTGTGGTGGCGTGCATCTATAGTCCCAGATACTCAGGAGGCTGAGGCAGAAGGATTGCTTGAGCCCAGGAGTTCAAGGCTGCAGCAAGCTATGATGGCACTGTGCTCCAGTCTGAGCAACAGAGCAAGACCCTGTCTCAAAACAAAAAAAAAAAAAGGAAGAAAATTATTTCCTAACAAGAATCCCAAACTCAGCAAAACTATCACAAGCAAATATAAAAAACACATTTTTAATTTATATCTGCAAATTTTGAAAATAATATTTCCTATGCACTCTTTCTCTAATAGGAGGATTTGCTTTTTGCAATTAAGGAGTAAACAAGAGAGGAAGACATGGAAACCAGGGTAATTTAACACAGAATAGAGACAAAAGGGTTTCCATAACGACAGAGGAAAGAAGCCTCAAGACCATAACAATGAGCACGTAGTGAGAAACAAATCCAGAATGGATTATGTCCTCAACTGCTGTAATAAAAAGTGCATAGGTAACATCTCCAATGGACAAATTGAGAAATAACAATATCCCTATATTAGTTTTTAGAAACAAGATAAATATATCCAAGAAGAGTTCAAATCTTTTGAAAGTGGCTGCCTTTTGAAAAAGAAACACCCGGCCGCTGGCCGGGTGCTGTGGCTCACGCCTGTAATCCCAGCACTTTGGGAAGCTCAGGTGGGCAGATCACTTGAGGTCAGGAGTTTGAGACCAGCCTGGTCAACATGGTGAAACCCCGTCTCTACTAAAAATACAGAAAAAAAAAAAAAAAAAAAAATTAACTGGGAGTGGTGCCTCACACCTGTAATCCCAGCTACTTGGGAGGCTGAGGCAGATGAATTGTTTGAACCTGGGAGACAGAGGTTGCAGTGAGCCAAGATCACGCCACTGCACCCCCGCCAGGGCCACAGAGCAAGACTCTGTCAGAAAGAAAGAGAGAGAGAGAGAGAGAGAGAGAGAGAGAGAAAGAGTCACCATAATTACATATTTAATTTTAAAAACTCAACAAACAAAATAATCCTTATCTCAAACAAAATTTATAAACCTTTACAGATATTCACTATCATACTCCCTCTCCATGATTCTTCTAAATGAATTCTATGACTCCTTTTGTTTTTGAAATATATTTTTAAGTCTTTTGTTAATCATATACTTTACCTGGTTTCTATGGGTTTCCATTACTCCTCCTGCTTTCAAAATGCTTTTCAAATATATATCGTCAGTCTTTTAAAGTTTGTTTACTTGTGAGTGCAAGGGCTTGCCTTTCTTATGGATCCTCAAACTACTCCTGAAAAGGTTTATGGGATAAACCTTAGATTGTGCTCAGGTGTGAAAGAGAATCAATTAATTACTTCTACCTGGAAGTTACCTGCGCCCCTTATCTCTTTCTGTAAGTATTTTTTATGTAAATGACCAAAGTCATATCTTAAAAATTGCCAGATGTATGATTTTATTTCCAAAACATTCTCTATTAAAAGACTGAAAACAATCCAAGTGTCCATCAGTCAGGGCCTGGTTAAATAAATTATGATGTATCTACCCAATGGAATATTATGTGGAATATTATGCAGTTATTAAAAAATCAGGAAGCTCTCTATGTACTGATGTAAAAACATATCTTGTTAAACGTTAAAAAGCAATGTGTAGTACAGTGTTTAGAGTGTTCTACTTTTGTGTAACAAAGGAGAAAGAGAGGAGAACATATATTTGCATAAACACTGGAAGAACATGCAAAAAAGCAGGTAAAATGGGATGGAAGGTGAGAGAGAATGAGACTTGTCAACGTACACCTTTTTTTTTTTTTTTTTTTTGAGATGGAATCTCATTCTATTGCCAGGCTGGAGTGCAATGGTGTGATCTTGGCTTACTTGCAACCTCCACCTCCCAGGTTCAAGCGATTCTCCTGCCTCAGCCTCCCAAGTAGCTGGGACTACAGGTGCACGCCACCACACCTGGCTAATTTTTGTATTTTTAGTAGAGAGGGGGTTTCACCATGTTGGCTGGGTTGGTCTTGATCTCTTGACCTTGTGATCTGCCTGCCTCAGCCTCTTAAAGTGCTGGGATTACAGGTGTGAGCCACTGTGCCTGGTCCAATGTACACCTTGGTATGTAGTTCTGAATTTTGAACCACGTGAATGTATCACCTTACTAAACAAGACGGCAGAAAGGACAAGGAAGTGGTTACCTTTGGAGGATCAGAAATAGAGGGAATGTATCAGGAGGCTGATGTTTTGCATTATAAGCATTTTTGGCACAATTTGAATTGTCAAATAATATGCAGATTATCTGGCATTCAGTGGATTACCATCAGAAGAATTAAAAAGAGCAATAGTTAAAAGTGGTTACTTCTAGGAAGTATGTCTGAAAATGGAGAGGAGTGAGGCAGGCGGATATTGCATTTCATTAAAAACCTGTGCTATTGCTTATTTTTAATCTTATGCCTGTGTTACTAGGATAAAAATCAAAATAGAACATCCCACTACCCCACCCCAGCAAAAAGAAGGCAGAAAATGGAAGCTTATATGGATAAAGAGAACGTATCTTCTAGTCACAAAGCGGGACTGTGTTTACTTTGTAAGCTTTCCTAGTCAAAACTGTCTCCTTAGTTCTGAGTTAAGACAATATATTTAACTAAAGCAACCAAGACGCAGCCTCTTCAACAGGAAAAGCAATGTCTGGTTATGATAAAGATACAATTAATCTTTTAAAAATATGTGTTGGAAACCATTCCATATCAGTTCATATAGACTAACATCATTTTTTAAAGCTGCTGCATAAATTCCATAGTGTAGAGAAACTGTAATTAAATTATTTCCCTTTTAGTGGACATTTCTGTTGTTACAAACAATGCCACAGTAAACATCCATGCACTCATAAATCATTGAGCTTATATGCAAGAAGAGATTCCTAGAAATGGAATTAGTGGATCAAAGAGCACATTCTATTTTCTAGATTTTCCACAATGAATATGTGGAAAATATAATATTCAGAAAAAAAAAAAGTAAGCTAAAAGAATTAACTGTAAGGTGAAGGTCCTGTTTTCTTAGTATTTTGTAGTCTGTCTGATACAAATTTTTACCCTTTCAGAAACAAAGGAAGAGGGCCTGGTTTGAAACAGATCATAGGGACTTGTCATGACTGGTTCATCGTAAACTAGAAAGTGTCACTGCCATCTCAGACACATGAAGACATATGTCTGGTAGGAAGCTGCTTTCTTTTTAATATTAAAACTTTGTTTTCATAGAATTTTGGCCAGGTGCAGTGGCTTAAGTCTGTAATCCAAGCACTTTGGGAAGCTGAAGCAGGAGGATCACTTGTGCCCAGGAGTTCAAGACCAGTCTGGGCAACATAGTAAGAGCCCATCTCTGCAAAAAATAAAAAATTAACTGGGCATGGTGGCGTGTGCCTGTGGGCCCAGCTACTCAGAATGCTAAGGTGGGAGGATCTCTTGAACCCAGGAGGTCAAGACTGCAGTGAGCTAGGATCGTGCCACTGCACTCCAGCCTGGGTGACAGAGCAAGACTCTGTCTCAAAAAAAAAAAAAAAAAAAAGACATTATTTTGAGATATTATTTGTTAAGGTTCACTTTGTTTTAATAGAATTCTCCGAACTATAATTCTAAAATGAAGTAAAATTCAAAGTAGAGCAATTATCTGTTATGTTTGTAAAACTTTGTTTTGCTTAACATCAAGTGGGATTTGGTAAAAGTCTTATTTTATTGGCAGGGTTCTAATTACTAAAAGACTTGAAGGCCCAAATTATAATGCCTCCAGTACGAATCCTAAGGACTATGGTATCATTACAATCCCTTGTATTTGGGTAGTATAGAGAATTAGAAAAAAACGAACACAAAAACTTCTTATTTTACGCAAGAACTGGGTGTTTTGCTTGAATTACCGGGATAATCGGTATAGCGCTCACATCTAATCATTGAGTTTTGCCTGTGTAGACACGGTTTAAAGAAACCTCTAAGATAAAACTTTAGTGAAATTATAGATCCCCAAAGATTAATTTCTCTCAGCAACAAGAAATGAGTACAACCTAAATGGTCTTACTGAAAGGTTGGAGCTAGGTGCTGGAAAGTTGAGGCAGGAAGCTATTCAAGATTCTCCTGTTGCGCCAACCCACCGCAGAATGGCTCTTTCATGTATTCCCTTGCACTTCCCCTTGTTCTTTTTCCACGGGTGGTATCATTGTGGGTGAACAGGGGAGGTTAGAATTAGAGTGAAGAAAAGGGTTGGTGTTTGATATGGTTGGGATATTTGTTCCCACCCAAATCTCATGTTGAAATGTAATTCCCAATATTGGAGGTGGGGTCTGGAGGGAGGTGATTGGATCATGTGGGAGGAATTTTCTCATGAACAGTTCAGCACCATCCCCTTGGTGTTGTCTTCCTGATAGTGAGTGAATTCTCGTGAGATCTGGTTGTTTAAAAGAGTGCTGGCATCCCCCACTTC